TCATTTGGTTTTTCTCCTTCAGCTTTTTAATATTGTGTATCACATTGATTGATTTGCGTATATTGAAAAATCCTTGCATTCCTGGGATAAACCCCACTTGATCATGGTGTATGACCCTTTTAATGTGCTGTTGGATACTGTTTGCTAGTATTTTGTTGAGGATTTTTGCATCTATGTTTATCAGTGGTATTGGTCTGTAGTTTTCTTTTTTTGTGACATCTTTGCCAGCTGCCGGTGTCAGGGTGATGGTGGCCTCATAGAATGAGTTTGGTAGTGTTCCTCCCTTTGCTATAGTTTGGAAGAGTTTGAGAAGGATAGGTGTTAGTTCTTCTCTAAATGTTTGATAGAATTCACCTGTGAAGCCATCTGGTCCTGGGCTTTTGTTTGTTGGAAGATTTTTAATCACAGTTTCAAATTCAGTGCTTGTGAATTGTCTATTTATATTTTCTATTTCTTCCTGGTTCAGTCTCAGAAGGTTGTGCATTTCCAGGAATTTGTCCATTTCTTCCAGGTTGTCCATTTTATTGGCATAGAGCTGCTTGTAGTAATCTCTCATGATCCTTTGTATTTCTGCAGTTTCAGTTGTTACTTCTCCTTTTTCATTTCTAATTCTATTGATTTGAGTCTTCTCCCTTTTTTTCTTGATGAATCTGGCTAATGGTTTTTCAATTTTGTTTATCTTCTCAAAGAACCAGCTTTTAGTGTTATTGATCTTTGCTATCATTTCCCTCGTTTCTTTTTCATTTACTTCTGATCTGATCTTTATGATATCTTTCCTTCTGCTAACTTTGGGGTTCTTTTGTTCTTTCTCTAATTGCTTTAAGTGTAAGGTTAGGTTGTTTATTTGAGATGTTTCTTGTTTCTTAAGGTATGATTGTTTTGCTATAAACTTCCCTCTTAAAACTGCTTTTGCTACATGCAATAGGTCTTGGGTTGTCGTGTTTTCATTGTCATTTGTTTCAAGGTATTTTTTGATTTCCTCTTTGATTTCTTCTGTGATCTTTTGGTTGTTAAGTAGTGTATTGTTTATCCTCCATGTGCTGTATTTGGTACAGATTTTTTCCTGTTATTGTTATCTAGTCTCATAGCGTTGTGGTCAGAAAAGGTACTTGATATGATTTCAATTTTAATAAATTTACCAATGCCTGATTTGTGACTCAAGATATGATCTATCCTGGAGAATGTTCCATGAGCACTTGCGAAAAATGTGTATTCTGTTGTTTTTGGATGGAATGTCTTATAAATATCAATTAAGTCCATCTTGTTTAATGTATCATTTAAAGCTTGTGTTTCCTTATTTATTTTCATTTTGGATGATCTGTCCAATGGGGAAAGTGAGGTGTTAATGTCCTCTACTATAATTGTGGTACTATCGATTTCCTCTTTTATGGCTGTTAGTATTTGCCTTATGTATTGAGGTGCTCCTATGTTGGGTGCATAAATATTTACAATTGTTATATCTTCTTCTTCGATTTATCCCTTGATCCTTATGTAGTGTCCTACTTTGTCCTTGTAATAGGCTTTGTTTTAAAGTCTATTTTTTCTGATATGAGAATCGCTACTCTAGCTTTCTTTTGCTTTCCATTTGCATGGAATATCTTTTTCCATCCTTTCACTTTCAGTCTGTATGTGTCCCTAGGTCTGAAGTGGGTCTCTTGTAGAAAGAATATATATGGGTCTTGTTTTGTATCCATTCAGCCAGTCTATGTCTTTTGGTTGGAGCATTTAATCCATTTACATTGAAGGTAATTTTCGATATGTCTGTTCCTATTATCATTTTCTTAATTGTTTCGGGTTTATTATTGTAGGGCTTTTCTTTCTCTTGTGTTTCCTGCCTAGAGAAGTTCCTTTAGCATTTGTTGTAAAGCAGGTTTGGTGGTGCTGAATTCTCTTAGTTGTTGCCTGTCTGTAAAGGTTTTAATTTCTCTGTCAAATCTGAATGAGATCCTTTCTCCATAGAGTAATCTTGGTTGTAGGTTTTTCCCTTTCATCACTTTAAATATGTCCTGCCACTCCCTTCTTGCTTGCAGAGTTTCTGCTGAAAGATCAGCTGTTAACCTTATGGGGATTCCCTTGTATATTATTTGTTGTTTTAAAATTTTTTTTGTATTTAATTTTTGATAGTTTGATTAATATGTGTCAGTTAGTTTCTCCTTGGATTTATCCTGTATGGGACTCTCTGTGCTACCTGGATTTGATTAACTATTTCCGTTCCCATATTAGGGAAGTTTTCAACTATAATCTCTTCAAATATTTTCTCAGTCCCTTTCTTTTTCTCTTCTTCTTCTGAGACCCCTATAATTCGAATGTTGGTGTGTTTAGTATTGTCCCAGAGGTCTCTGAGATTGTCCTCAATTGTTTTCATTCTTTTTTCTTCATTCTGCTCTGCAGTAGTTATTTCCACTCTTTTATCTTCCAGGTCACTTATCCGTTTTTCTGCCTCAGTTATTCTGCTATTGATCCCTTCCAGAGGATTTTAAATTTCATTTATTTGCTGTTCATGATTTTTTGTTTGCTGTTTAGTTTTTCTAGGTCCTTGTTTAACGTTTCTTGTATTTTCTCTATTCTATTTCCAACATATTGGATCATCTTTACTATCATTATTCTGAATTCTTTTTCAGGTAGACTGCCTATTTCGTCTTCATTTGTTAGGTCTGGTGGGTTTTTACCTTGCTGCTTCATCTGCTGATTTTCTTTGTCTCCTCATTTTGCTTAACTTCCTGTGTTTCACGTCTCTTTCTCGCATGCTGCAGGTTCATAATTACCGTTGTTTTTAGTGTCTGCCCCCAGTGGCTTAGGTTGATTTAGTGGGTTTTATAGGCTTCCTGGTGGAGGGGACTAGTGCCTATGTTCTGGTGGATGAGGCTGGATCTTTTCTTTCTGGTGTGAAGGTCCACGTCGGGTGGTGTGTTTTGAGGTGTCTGTCACCCTGTTATGATTTTAGGCAGCCTCTCTGCTAATGGGTGGGGTTGTGTTCCTGTCTTGCTAGTTGTTTGGCATAGGGTGTCCAGCACTGTAGCTTACTGGTCGTTGAGTGAAGCTGGGTCTTGGCGTTGAGATGGAGATCTCTGGGAGTTTTTTGCCATTTGATATTACATGGAGCTGGGAGGTCTCTGGTGGACCAATGTCCTTTACTTGGCTCTCCCACCTCAGAGGCCCAGCCCTGATGCCTGGCTGGAACACCAAGAGCCTGTCATCCACATGGCAGCTATGAGGTGTCTCCAAAGAATCAATAAATGCACAAGGTAGCAGGAAGAGCGTTCAGGACCTTGACACATGAGGTCAGGCTGTCATTAGCAGACCTATTCGGCCACATCTTGCCATGGTTAGCACTGCACTGTGGAAATCAGTGTGAATCCTTGAACACTACTGGGGATAGTGAGACAACTGAATGAGGTGTTGCAATGCTGAGCTAGAGACCATCCAGAGGCATAAGCAGAACACTGGATACCTCCAAACTCCAGAACTGCAGCCTCCAGAGGCCCTCTTTTAGACCTGTTAATGATATTTTTAAGGAAGTTAAAAATTATGGTAAAGTATACATAACATAAAATTTTTTCATTTTAACTATTTATAAGGTACAGGTCCATGGTATTAAGTATGTTCTCACTGTTGTGCATCCATTGCTACCATCCATCTCCAGAACTCTATTCATCTTCCCAAACTGAAACTTTGTACCCTTTACATGATAATCCCCAGTTCCTCCTTCCCCCAGCTCTTGGAAACCACCATTGTACTGTCTATCTCTATGAATTTGAGTCCTGTAACTTCTCCTCTAGGTCCCTCCTGTAAGTGGACTCATACAATATCTGTCCTTCTGTGAGTGGCTTATCTCACTTAGCATAATGTCCTCAAGGTTCATCCATGTTGTAACATGTGTCAGAATTTCCTTCCTTTTAAGGCTGAATAATATTATATTGTATGCATATGTCCTATTTTATTTATCTGTTCATTTATCATTGGAATGGATACTTGGGTTTCTTCCACTTTTTGGCTATTGTGAATAATGCTGCTATAAGCATGGATGTACAAATATCTGTTTGAATCCCTGCTTTCAATGCTTTTGGCTATATACTTTAAATGGTATTTTTAAGACTATCTTCCAAATGTTTATTTCTAAAATATAGAAATACAATTGATTTTTGTATATTGATCTTGTTTTCTTTCTGTGACTTTGTTAATTCATTTATTCGTTCTACCAGTTTTTTAGTAGATTATTTAAAACATTTCTTACATATAGTCTGTTGACTGTGAATAAAGACAGTTTTACTTCTTCCTTCTAAACTTTATGCTTTTTACTTATTTTCTTGCTTTAATGAACGACTAAGACCTTAAGGACAATGTTTAGTAAAAGTTGTGAGAGCAGACATCTTTGCCTTGCTCCCAATCTTGGGGTGGAAGCATTCAGTATTTCACTATTAGGGAAAACATTAGTTACACATTTTTGTTGACAGCTTTTATTGGATGGGGGAAACTCATTTCTATTCCTGCTTTGACAAGAGTTTTTCTAAACAACTTTACTGAAATATAGTTGGTATACAAAAAACCACGTTTAATGTATAAAATTTGATGAATTTGAACATATGCATACACCTATGAAACCACAATCAAGGTAATAAACATATACATCACCTCCAAAATTTATCATGCACATACACTGAATTTTGTTGAATGCCTTTTCTGTGCCTATTGAAAAAAATCTCTAGCAAAAAGCAATGAATCTTATGGACCAACAATGATTCAATTCCTGAAGTAAGGTGAAAGGCCCAATTTCTTTGTGCATTTTCCTGCCTGAACAACAGTAAGATTTTATAAACTAATAAAGAAGAGAAAATGGTCGTTGGGTTGGCAACCAGCAGTCATGGTTATAAGAAGGCCTCTGAACTCAATTTTTGAAGCATATATTACCAGAAAATTAATAGAATGTTCTGCTACATTTGATGTCTTGTTTCACCTACCCGTCCTGCTCATGGCAGTCTAACTTGTCTTCTTAAATACAGATCTGACCATGCTACAGCTTTGCTCAAAATTTTTTGCTGGTTACCTTTCACTACAAAACAAGTTCTGGGACTTCCCTGGTGGAACAGTGGATAAGAATCCGCCTTCTAATGCAGTGACATGGGTTCGAGCCCTGGGTCGGGAAGATCCCACATGCTGCAGAGCAACTAAGCCTGTGCCCCACAACTACTGAGTCTGCACTCTAGAGCCTGTGAGCCACAACTACTGAGACCATGTGCTGCAATTGCTGAAGTCTGCATGCCTAGAGCCCGTGCTCCACAAGAAGAGAAGCCACCGTAATGAGAAGCCCGCGCACTGCAATAAAGAGTAGTCCCCACTCACCACAACTAGAGAAAGCCCATGCACAGCAACGAAGACCCAACACAGCCAAAAATAAATAAATAAATAAGTAAGTAAGTAATAAATAAATTTATTTTTTAAAAAAGTTCTGTAGCATGACGTCCAAAGCCTTTATGGATTTGGCTCCATGTTGTCTTTTCAGTAGTATCTTTCAGTGTACCTCCTTCTACCTTTGCCACACATCTGCCCTTCCTCTGACATGCTGTGCATCCCTGTGTCTGTTATTGCCAGTAATGCCTCCACATTATCACTCTACAATCCATGCATCTTTCAAAATCCAGCTCAAATGCCGCCTCTTCCATGATGCCAGCCACAATTGTTCCCGTTGCAATTGATCTATATTATCTCTGTGCTCTGTTATATCTATAATGCTCTCTTGTTGGATATTTAGTGGCAAATGTGTTTAGATTATGTTTTCCTCAACTGTGTATCACTACATTGGCTCACATAGGGGTGGCAGATAGACAGCTCAGAAGCCACAAGTCCCCATTTGTGAGCCCATGGAAAATATTACTAAATGATTACAGCATGATTTTCCACTAAACCTAAGTGCACTTCAAGGCACCTCAGGACATTATTGTTTTTTTCAAGTATACAATATTGTTAACTGTAATCACCATGCTGTACATTAACCCCCCAGAACTTATTTACCATGTAACTGAAAGTTTACACCCTTTGACCAATATACCCCCATTTCCCCCACCCCCAACTCCTGGCAACCATCAATCTACTTTTTCTATGAGTTCAGCTTTTTTAGATTCCACATATAAGTATTTATAAGGATACTGTATAAGGATCATACAGTATTTGTTTTTCTCTGTTAGACTTATTTTATTTAGCATAATGATCTCAAGCGTTATTCACATTACAGCAAACGTCAAGGTTTCCTTCTTTTATGACAGAATAATATTCCATTGCATATATATATACACACAGAACATTTTCTTTATGCATCTATCTATCCATTGACAGACAGGTAGTTTCCATTTCTTGGCTATAATTAATGCTGCAATGAACATAGGATTGAAGATATCCCTTCAAGATAGTGATTTCTTTTCCTTCCAATATATACCCAGAAGTCAGATTTCTGGATCATACAGTAGTTATATTTTTAATTTTTTGAGGAAACTTCATACTTTTTTTGTAGTAACTGTACCAGTTTACATTCCTATGAGCAGTGCACAGTGATTTCTCCTTATCCTCAACAGCACTTGTTATCTCTTGGCTTTTTGATGATAACCAATCTAACAATTGTGAGGTGATATCTCTTTGTGGTTTTGATTTACATTTCCCTGTGATTAGTGATGTTGAGTACATTTTTATATACCTGCTAGCCGTTAGTGTGTCTTGTTTGGAAAAATGTCTATTCAAGTCTTTGTCCATTTTAAAATCAGATTATTTGTCTCATTGCTATTGAACTGTATGGGTTCCTCATGTAATTATGATATTAACCCCTTCTTAGAGGCTTACAAATATTTTCTCCCATTCTGTAGGTTGCCCTTTCAATTTGTTGATTGTTTCCTTTGCTGTGCAGAAGCTTTTTATAGTTTGATGTAGTCCCACTTGTTGTTTATTGCTTTTGTTACTTGTGGTTTTTTTGTCATATCCAAAAAATCATTGCCAGGGCCAATGCCAAGGAGGCTTTTCTTATGTTTTCTTCCAGGAGTTTTATGGTTTCAGGTCTTAATGTAAGTTTTTAATCCATTTTGAGTTAATATTTCTGAGTTGTGTAAGATACAAATCCAAATTCATTCTTCTCCATATGAATATAATTTCCCCATTGAATATTCTTGGTTTGTCAAATATTAGTTGATGGTATATGTGTGGGTTTATTTCTGGACTCTTGATTCTGTTCGATTGGTCTGGGTGTCTGTTTTTATGCCACTAACTTACTGTTCTTATTACCATAGTTTTGTAATATAGTTTGAAACAGAAAGTGTAATGCCTTCAGCTGTGTTCTTCTTTCTCATGATTGTTTTGGCTACTGGGGGACTTTTGTGGTTCCACACAAATTTTAGGATTGAAGTATCTATTTCTATGAAAAATGTCATTGGAATTTTGATAGGGATTGCATTGAATCTATAGATGTCTTTGGGTAGTGTGGACATTTTATTAATAATAATATTTAATAATATTATTATTCTGATGTATGGGCATAGGGTATTTTTCCATTTACTTGCCTCTTCATCAATTTATTTCATCAGTGTGTTATAACTTTAGGAGTACAGAGTTTTCACCTCCTTGGTTAAATTTATTCTTAAGTATTTTATTGTTAGATGCTCTTGTAAATGTGATTTTCCTTATTTCTCTTTCAGATAGTTCTTTGTTAGTGTATAGAAATGGAACTGACTTCTGTATGTTGATTTTCTATCCTGTAACTTTACTAGATTCATTTATTAGTTCTAATAGTTTCTTGGTGAAGTCTTAAGGGTTTTCTATATGTAAGATTAGGGATATTATTAATTTATTATTAATAACTGCTCCAGGCAGTTATTACCAGTTGATTAAATGAAATCTGCATTCCATCTTTAGCTAAATTTGTGATCTTCATAACAAAAGCTTAATGCTTTGGTTAGTTGAAGTGAATTTCACCACATAGACTCCATGGGTGGTTTCCACCAAGGACTAAATTTATTTGGTAGAGGATAGAAAGTTAGAGGATTATAGAGGATTATAATGCTATAGCATTATAGCATGTGGCAGAGCTGGCCACATGGAAGAAATCTATTAAGAACAGCAAAAAGCTCTTGCTGAAGAGAGGCCAGGCTGTCAGACCAATTTTATTTTCTTCCCAAGAAACCCATCAGAGACCTTTTTATTTTCTTGGTTTAGAATCTAAGAATCAGGTAAAGGACTACATCAACTCTGTGTAAGGCCATACTCTGGGAATCTCATGGGCCAAGGTGAGGAGTGAGAGGGTTTCTGAATGTCACAATCCATTTCATTACTATGAGGCAAACCTTCATCAGACATGGCTATAAGTTTCACCCCTGGGAACAGCAGGTGTCTACAACAAATTGAACTCTTTAAACCATACAGACTGATTAACGTTCAAAAGTCAGTTTGGGAAATGACAGAGTCATCAGGGATTTCTTTGAAACCCCTGATGGGGTTTAGTCTCAAATGTTTATTTCTTTGAAACCATGCTATACTGTCCAATACAATGACCATTAGCCACATTTGGTTATTTAAATTTAAATTAATTAAACTTAAATAAAATTAAAACTTCAGTTCCTCAGTCACACTAGCCACATTTTAAGTGCTCAACTAGCCACATGTGGCTTGCAGCTACCACATTGGACAGAACAGATAAAGAACATTTCTACCATCACAGAAAGTTCTAGTGGACAGCACTGTTTTAAGGCCTCCTGTAACAAACCTGAACTCCTCTGCACTGTAGTTTAGAGGTTTTGCAAAAGTTTTTGCTTGCATGAGCCAGTTATGTTCTTTAGTATTACCATTATTTGTATCATGTAACTATTTTATGTTTCTTTCACCCAAATAAATGCTTTTCTCTTCCAAGGCCTTTCTGTTTAATGTCTCATTTGAGAAAAATATCAAGGAAATTTTATTCCCTATAGTTAGAGACCTGTGTGGTAAGCAAGATTCTATTATTTATCCTCTGTTGTTTCGTTATGGTGGTTAATATCTTCCCTGCTTCCTCTGAATTCTTTTTTGTGACCTGCTAAGTTGGCTATGTCCTGCATGGTTGTTTGAATTGAAATTACCTACCATTTTGCCTTTCTAAGGAAGATGTAGTGAATTCAGTCATTAAAGGAAGGGACTTTAGGGGAATAATGTTCCATAAGGCTCCTATCTATTCTGACACATTTTTATTCTTGCCTCTTCTCCCACGTTAAATCAAAGCTATTGTACAAAGGGAGATGTATTGAAAATAGGCCACATGATACAATGTGGCTAAAGCTTCCACATTAGTTTTAAATGGGGTTCATTTGAAATGACTTTAATCTTGGTTATGGTGGCTATTCAATATAATGTTCATTCTTTGTTACAACTCAAAGCCATATGCTTACCTTATTTATTCCTATGAAGATAAGATTAAATGTTTTTTAAAATTTTTAAGTAAGGTAAAATATGAAGAAACAGAAATAAGATGTATTGTAGTATAAGAGACACAATCTAATCATTTCTATCCCTATGGGTCACAGATTATCATTTTTCCTTGTAATTTCCTACTAAGGCACCTCTTTGAATAAGGTCTGGACTGGCTACTAAGTATTCATGTATTCTGTTTATCCACATGATGCTGAGGCTAAAGACTTGGTATATATTTGGAAAAAATGAACCCAAACTTCCCTTTTCCAGCTTCATTGTTGTCATAACAAGCCATCTTCAGAGACAGCTGTAGTGGGGTGTTAATTACATCCCACTAGGGTTTGAATCCTAGCTCCACCCCTCTTGACTGTGTGGACCATAAAAATTACTGTATATTGTTTCAACTTCTTCATCTTGGAGATGAGTTAGATTTCCAAACTACATCACTGGATTTTCCTGAGGTTTAATAAAAGTCCTTAAAACAGTGCCTTTACCTTTCACTCGGGTTCCAAGCCTAAAAAAATCAATTTTCCATGACTTTAAACCTTAAAAATTCAATTGTTATGGTCTGAATGATTTTGTATCCCCCCTCAAATTCATAGAGCCCTTATGAATGAGATTAATACCCTTATAAAAGAGACCCCAGAGAGAGCTCCCTTGCCCCTTCCACCA